ATCTGCAGCTGGGAAAAATTCTTACTGATACGAAACTGTTAGAAGAATCAAATTGTTGGAATATCACTTAGACCTGCAGTTTCAACAGAAGCAGGAAAAATGGCCAAAGAAGGAACACTCAGAGGCAGCAGGGATAACCAGCAGAATCACACCTAAAGATGACCTAATCAAATGGTCATAAAGAAAACAACTAAAGTCATAAAACATCTAGTCAAACAAAAAACCTGCAAAGTCTTAATATGAAACAGAAAATCACCCCTTGAGTAAGCTGGATAATTGAAGTCTGCTCCAGGAAACATGTCTTGCTAATATTTCACCCCTTCTGGTTTGGTTTCAACTAATGTTTGTGTGTATAAAATACAGCATCAAAAATGCCTGTGATCAAAACTGCCTCTCTCTGTTGTATTCAAATTATTTTAAAATTTTTTCATTGTAGGAATTACGATTCATACTGATTTTATGCCAGCCACTGACTTTATCAAAAGGTGGGTCACACTACTTGGTAATTCAGCTGGATTCACTGCTTTCAGAATTCTAAAAGTCTACAGATTAGATATATTTAGGTGCTATTTTAAAGAAAGGAAAGAGTGGGGCAAAAATTATTGCCTACCAATTTTTATTCTTGAAGGACAAATCATATCCATGATCATATCCACACTTTTCTGATGGTCATCGTCATTTAGAATTTCTGATGCTGGAATTTGGAAGAATTTGTCCTTGAAAAAAATCATATGGTATAAAAAGGAAATTATATTAATCTTTTTAAAAGTTATAACATACAATTATTTAAATATTATCTAATTTAAAATAATCTAGACTATTTCACTCTACCAAGATTGCAGAATTCATAAAGTAAAGTGCTGGTCTGAACTCTAAAATCTGATTTAGTACTTTAATCTTAAAATAGCTTTGAGATATATATAATCAAGTTAAATTATTATACTTTGACTTAATAATGATGATTAAAAAACTAGCTGACTATACTCTTTGTGTATAGAAAAACAAATCTTATGTTAAGTTAAAAAAAATAGAACATGTGCTATATATCTAATTAGTTTTTTCTCCCCAACTAGATTATGAATTTCAGGAAAGAATTTGGCTTGCTGTGCTCAGTCTTATCCATGTATTTCCATCATATCGACAAGAACCTGGTCAATAGCAGGTGTTCAATAAATATTTAAGTGGTCAAAGGGATTATGCAGGTGGAAGAAAAATTCTCAACCTTACCTCAGATTTCTTTTCTAATGTATGTAATAAAATGTTTAACTTGACCCTAAGAGAGGTCTGGCTTTTGCTCTTACATGTTTGTGGGAGATCTAAGCTTTTAGCATGTCACACTTACTAGAAGTGCTTTTTTTGTTTTTTTTTTATTTTTTTGCCTGAGATCATTCTGGATAGTCTAATGACGTGAGTTAGGATGAGGAGTCTGGAGCGTGGGGTGTTAGCTAGACTTCCAGAGGGGCTGAAGACTGAGATCAGCCACTGCGGGCAATCAACCACACCTATGTGATGGAGTCCCAGCAGAAGGTCTTGACATCAGGTCTGGCTGAGCTTCCCTGGTTGGTAAGATTCCATGTATAATGTTATACATTATTGTAGGGAAAGGTAAACAGTCCACAACATTGAAGTGCAATGTTTACTGAGAAGACAAACATAAGCTCTATGTTTGGAACTTCCCTGGACAGTACCCTATGTACTTCTCTCCTTGGCTGATTTTAATTTATACCCTTTAGTAGTAAGAAACCCTAACCCTGAATATAACACCTTTCAGTGAGTTCTCTGAGTCTTTCTTCTGAGTTGTTGAATACTAAGGGTGCCTTTTTAGACTTCCAGACTTAACAACTGGTATCAGAAGTAAGGGTGGTCTTGTGGGCTGCTTCACACAATGATATCTCTGAATCAAAGTAACTTCATTTCCTTGATTGTGAAATGTAAATGTTTAAGAAGTATGGTGAAGTATGATGCCTACATAATGTGTCTGCACCTCTGATTTACAGCCCTGGAGCAGAACTTACGCACGGGAAGGAGAACAACTCTCCCTTCAAATCTCTGAACCTCATTTTTTCACTGCTCAAATATTAAGGTTTACAGTGTCAAATCAAAACAAGAGATACACAATTTAAGATTTATATGTTTACATTTTATTTATACTTTTAAGTTGCCTTATATACTTTTGAAATAAAATTGGTTTGAATAAATATATTAAAATTTAAATATTTATTTTTCAAACAATCTTTACTACCTCTGTTACTTACAGAATCCATGAGAAATGCTTCTAACACTCCTGTTCCATCATCAAGAGTGAACGTCATAACAAACACATATTGGAGGGGTACAATACCCAGTACTAGGGAAAGAAAAGAAGATCAAATCATATGAGCCTCCTGTTCCTTATGATCAAGGTAAAGTTAAAACTGTTTTGTGAGTTCAAGAGATAAAGAGAAACCTGACACTATCTGACATGTAGGTGGTATGGGAGTTGAATTGAGTTTTCATTGTTTAGTTGGCTTGGGCCAGGTTCAAACCCTCCAGCAGTGGTGTATGTGGGCAGTGACCTAACTACTGAGCTACAGGTGCTGAGCCACCTTATCCAATTCTTAATGTAGTGGGTTTGTTTGCGTGGTCACTCAGGGTGGGTTTTAAGTTTGAACTTATTTTAGTTCAAAGTTCTAACCAAGTGAGACCTTTTGAAACCTAAACCTGAGGCGGCGCCTGTGGCTCAAAGGAGAAGGGTGCAGACACCTTACACCAGAGGTGTTGGGTTCACACCCAGCTCCAGCCAAAACAAAAAAACAAAAAGAACAACTGCAAACAAAAAAATAGCCGGACATTGTGGTGGGTGCCGTAGTCTCAGCTACTTGGGAGGCTGAGGCAAGAGCATTGCTTAAGCCCAACAATTTGAGGTTGCTGTGAGCTGTGACACCACTGTACTCTACCCAGGATGACACAATGAGACTCCATCTCAAAAAAAAAGGAATTGGATAAGGAAATCAAGCTTGATATCTTGAAAAAGTGACCCAGGATTGCACCAGAGCACAAAGAAAACATGAAAACAACAGTATCACACAACTGTATACACATCTATACAATACAATTTCAGGTTAGCAGAATCTGAGTGTACAGTTTTAGGGAAAAAATAATGTTCCCAACATTCTCAATTGGCCAAACTGTATCTGCAGCACCACGTCCAGCATGAATGTCAGACTTTGAGAAGGGCACTGGAGAAGTGGAATGTTTACTGAGAAGAAAAAAAAAATAGTAAGGAAAGTGGGAAAGTACCACTGGAAGTGAGGACGCCTACTTAAAGAAATAAGGATTCAAGGAAGGCTTGAGTAGTTCCTTAAAATGTACGATGTCTGTTTATCTTCTAGAAGGAAATAGGAATACTCTAGTCTAAATAATTTTAGTACACAGACCTTGGCCCATGTTAAAGTTAAAGGAAGGTAGATTTTGCTTCACTCTTAATAAATGCCTAAAAATTAAGAGGACATGCTGCTTTGCACGTAACGAGTACCCTGGCACTGAAGGAGTTTTAAACAAAGGTTAGATGAGCACAGTTAAGAATGTGATACAGAGATTCCTTTTGTTCCAGCTAAAGACTTGTGCTGGGTGAAAAGTTTTAACAGTTCTCTCTAAAACTCTTCAGTCCCAAGGTACCATGAGCTGAAGAGATTTGTCAGAACCAGTATTTAGGACAGATGGCTAACATGTAAACAAATTATAAATACTAAGATCTGAGTTGTGATTAAAAAGTATTGGTGAATGCTTAAAAGTGACTATTCAAATATTTTTAACATTTACACTACACACTTATTATAATCATTGTGAATAGTTTCCCTTAAGTAAAGTTAAACTTTAACTTAGCCTTATATATTCACAAATATTAACATACAAATCAGTTAGAGGACCTTAAACACAGATAGTGGAAACTGCAAGGCGTAGATATTTAGCTAACCTTCTGCCACAGAAGCAGGACTCCATGATGTTTTATCCACAAGGGAATTTAGATTTTGTATTGTTCTCAAATTAGAACACTGCTTACACCTGCAATTAATAAAATAAAAAAGTATAAATTTGAAAATAATTTAATTT